TAGTTAGATATATTTTGAGTAAATATATATTCTAATATTTTTGTCAAGCACAAAATTTATTGCAAATAAAGTATTGGTATGACTTGCTGAAAAGGTTAAAAAAAAATGATTAATTATGTGATGCTTATTATTTAAGAATTGTAGAACCAGATAGAGAAAACAAAAAAAAATAACAGATTTTGTTGCTAGTAAAAAAATTTATGAGATTTTTACAGTTTCTGAAACTATTAATAATGAATAGAAAGATATTATAATTAATATTTCTGATGATCAAATTACTTTAAATAAAAATGATTTTATTAAATTAATTAATAGAACTAATAAATTAGAATTACTTCAAGCAAAATCAAGTAAGTTTATTATACTTTATTTATTTATTATATTTATTTTATATTTATAATATTAATATTTAATAATAATATTTCAGATTTAACTTTTGAAAATAAAATTGATTTACTTTCAAAAGTTCTTTTTAAAGAACAAAGAAGATTAAATCATTTAATAGAACTAGATCCTAAAAAATTTTTAAAATTAATTACAACTTCTAATTTTCAACTTAGTAAATTCTTTGATGAAATTTTTAATGCTATAAGTCCAAAATATAGAAATTCTCAAACTAGAGAAAATGATGAAAAATTAGCTATTGGATTTTGTTATCTTCTTGCTAGAGCTCGAAATAAATTTGCAAATAAATTAAAAATAGAGATAGAACTTTATTTATTAGCATCTGGATATAGTTCTTCTGCTATAGATATATTAGCAAATCTTGGAATTTCAGCATGTTATAAAACTGGGATTTCTACTATGCAGATCCTCTGACTGTAGATCCTATCAAGATTTATTCATATAACGTTATGCTTTCTGAACATTCTGTCATACTTCCAATATCTGAATAATATTAGTGCAATATGATTTACAGGGTTACAACCCCAAAAACGGACAGAATTTACCGTAAGTTGGATACAAAGGTCTGAGTAATTATTTAAATTCGTCGACAGTAGGATTTGAACCCTAGACCTCTTATATAGTGATCTGGCAACCTAATCACTACACTAAGATCGCCAGACCTTCATAGCATAATATTTTTATATTTTGTTACAACTTTTTTTTCTTTATATTAATAAGAATGTTTGTTTCTTTTTCTTTTTTTTTTACTTTTTTACTTGTAAGGGTTTTTTAATTTGGTAATAGATTTTTTTCTTATAAGCTTAGTTTATATAATTGGCTATATTTTATTATATGCAACAATTTTTATTTTTAACTTGAACTAAGTATTAATAGTTTGTAATTTAGTTTTAATTAGATTAGAAGCAATCTAGAATTTTGATAAGGTTTAAAAGAATCTATTGTTGATCTAAAAGAACTACTCTACTTAGGTAAGATGCTTTTTAGATAGATAAATACTTTTTGTAATAGATCACATCTAAGTAGCACAAGACAAGCTAAGTGAATTCAAGGTTGCAAGGGTGAGATACATTAGTAGTTTAGAATATTAGTTTTTTTCTTATTTTTGTATTATGATTTCTTTATAAATCTTCTACTAATAAACTAAGGATAAGGTTATCTAAGTTAAAAAAAAAAAATATATATATATAGTATAAATTTTTAGACTAATTTTTTTAATAATTATTAGTCTAAAACAAATAATTTTTTTTATTTAATAGATATATATATTTATTCTATAAAATAAAAAAAAATTTTTAAAATCTAATTACTAGTTGCTAAAATAATTTAATAATCTATTATAATATATTAAATTTTATTAATAATTTTATATCTTAATTATCTTGATATTTAGTAACAGACTTTAAAAATTTTTTTTTATTTTGTAGAGAAGATAAAGTATTTTGAAATAAAAAAAGTTTGTTTAATTTTAATTACTAGAAGCTAAGATAATTAAAGTAGAAATTTAGTCTAGTAATCTTAGTGTAGTAGTTAGGTTACCAGACTACTATGCAAGAGGTCTAGGGTTCAAATCCTACTGTATACAGAATTGAATAATTACCTAGACATCTGTATCTAACTTACGGTAAA